AAATCATCGTTTTGTGTAATAAAAGTCTTGATTTCTGGAGCGATTTATTACCCGAACAACTGATTAACCAACTTGCTTGAGTGATCGAATAATCCCACAGCCCTAATTCAAATCAGTGTTGCCACTTTGTGCGTAATTCCTCAAAACGTGAGGAATTTCGGGTGCGCTTGAGTATTTTTTGAGGATTTTTATTTTGAGGAATTTTCTCTCGATATATTTGCAGATTATAAATGCATCCATGGTTTACACAAGAGAGTTGTTAAATCGCTCTGCAAATTTTTGAACAAAAAGCTTTCCGAAGTTTAATAAAGAGCGAAATACACTACACAAGCAGCTTGTCAAACATTCTTCAAACCTACTTTCCCATTTCGGCATACACCATGCAAACATGACTCGTTCAAGCAAAGAATTTTAGTTTTCTTCCGGTTCACAATATTTGGGTTTAGTTTTCTTCAAATTTTTCTCTCTTGCGTCCTCATTCGGTAAAAAGCATCGTATAACTTACAAGTATGGAATCCTATGCCCCTTTTTGTCTATTCTCTTTCTAAAAGCGGACATGCCTGCCAAACAGCGGACGTGCCTGCCAAACTGAAAAGCATGATGGCGGCAGTGTTTGAGAGGCACGTTCGACAATGCGGACGGCAATGGAAGGTAAGAAATGGAAGATGGTTGACATGAGAATGAAAGAATTATGAAACAGCAGATTGTCGAACCAAAACGAATTTCAAAAATCTGACAATGCGAATGACGTCAAAATGAAAGAAATGCAAAATAGCGAAATGTCGAAAAAGAAGAAATAGATGACAGGCACGTGTTCCAGGGTTTCGTGCAACAAAAAGAGTTGTTGTGTTGCGCCATTCAATATTAAAAAAAATTATAATGTGATTAAATACGCTTTTTTATTAAGTTGAAAAAACTACATATTTCGCCAGCCAAAAAGTGTATAAATAAATATATAGCATCTTGCTATAAGATTATTTATAAAAACGGTATATGCTTATGGGCTTATTCATAAAAAATAAAATAGATTTAAGGAGCTTTATACAGTAACATTAAAAAAAAAAATAGATTTGTTTACTTTTTAAGAATTTTGGAACAACATTTAACTTAACTTTTTGGTCACTCATCTCTTTTTCTGTTTATTATTCTCAAATTTTTCTTTTCCTTAATTCTCATTTGACTGAGTTTCAATTACACCCAGTAAAAATCTGGTAAAAACATTAGAAAGTAAAACCATTTTCTCAATTCGTCGGCCATGATTTTTTTCTGACGTTTGCAAACATTTCAAAATCATATAAAATTGAAAATAAAAAAAATTAAATAGTTCACGATTGTTGTTGTTTGAGATTAAAAATGAGAATGTGTGGGTGAGCTTGAGTTCCAATTTTAAAATTATAAATAAATA